CAAAGCCATGGTTTAAGGTAAGGAAGAAATTTTTAGTAATGGCATTATTAAAAAACTAAAAAGGTTTTTAATTTCTCTTTTTCTTGGGCTGACCCGAGTTTCCAGTTTCTAGAGATGACAAGACAGGCAGGGTCCCATGGAATTTGGACCAGGATGCTTAGAGAGTCTATGATTCTAAGGCAGATCACACATCAACTTGCACCCTCACAAGGTCTAGCCTAATAGCTGGCTCCGTCTGCTGATGGCAGCGTCCCATCTCTGCTGTGACATCCCATCCACAAAATCATCTGAGTGTCACAGGGAGCCACAACCCCACTGTGTGACAGTGGTCACTGTTCTCCAGAGGGGCAATAATATGGGCCTATAAATAAAACAGGCTTAGTGCTTCAGGGGCCCAGAAACCCAAGCCCTACCTCCAGAGATGGGGAAACTGAGTTTGGGAGAGGGGAAGGACCTCACCTCAGGTCACTTAATCATGACTAAGCTTAGGACCGAACACAAGAAGTTACACACAGACAGCTGCATTGATTCTCACCAGTAAGAACACTGATTCGTATATATTCTACAGTGAGTTGGTCAAATTTTTGGCAAAGGGTACCATATATTTAGAAATGTTCACATATCCCCCTGTGTTCAACTTAATACAGACAAAAGCTTTCAATGATAAGCCATCTTCTGGAGTCTCTCCATTTCCACTTATAGATCCATTTAAACAATTAATCAGATGTCTGAAGAATTCATACTTCTATAAATAATTTCTCTCCCTTTACTGCCCTGTTTTTTTTGCGGGGGGGGGGGGGAATCTGTCAATTTATTGGAGATGATGATAATTTCTTTTTCTGCAAATAAGGGCCTTTGTGGTAGAGGTGAGTTTTTAAAAAATCGCTACTAGGGAAATGGCTGAGGGCACAAGAGTTGCAAAAGGGAAAATTCAAAATGAAGCCAGAGCTTGTGTGTTTGCACTGGAAGACCAAAAATGTTATCATTTTGTTTTACAGTCATTTCAGGTATGTTTTACTATTTAGTCTTAGTTAACGGCACTGTTTATAATGTCAAACCATACTGAATAAAAAATGCAGATTTGACTCAATTTTCGTACTTAAATGACAACAGACATTTAAATCATCTGAGTTTTATCATTTTGATCATATACACCTTACTGTGCCCTCACTATGCCATAATATCTTTATTTATTTAGTAGTTCGTATAAGTCCAAGATAGGAAGTTTCGTACATGAATGATCATTTCCAACATTCATTCATTTATTCAGCAACTGTTTAGTGAGCCATGGTTGTGTGTTAGGCTTGGTTTGCAAGGCACAAAGAATAATACAAGAATAGGACTCAGGTTCTCTTGGACTCATTAACACCATAGGATTTCTTATTCCTCGAGTAACTGCATGGTCTGGCCCTGCCTCTCTCCTAGTTTTTCCCTTACCTCCCTTCCTCTTTGCCTGTCTCTCAGATCCACACTTGCTGTTCCCGGAAAGCATCAAGCTATTCTTACCCCAGAGCGTTTGCACGTGTGGTCTCCTCTTTCTAGAAAGCTTTTATTTCCCCAGGTCTCCTTATTTCATTTAGATCTTTTTTTCAAATATAATATCCTTAAAGACAATACTTTGCTTACGTTTTATTTTCTGTCTACCTTGGTAGAGCCTGAGCAGGAAGTTCATCTTTTTCAACAATGTGTCCCTAGAACCTAGGACAACTTGGCATGTAACAGATGTTTATATGTATTTGGATAATGAAAGAATGAATAGAGGAAACAGCTCTTGACAGTTTGGGGTGCTTGATGAGCTAACTTTGCAGGAGGAGTTTTTATGGTTCCCTGTCAGACCCATGGCCCCCACTCCTAAGCCTTCCCCTACTGGGCTATTTCTATGAATGGCATCTTTAGTTACTCAGGCTCAAAACCTTGCCATCACTCATTCTGTCCTCCCTCTAGCATCCACAACCAATCAGCTGCCAGTTTTGGTGACACTGCAGCCTCTTGTGTCAACTCCTTTTTCTCTTCATTCTTACAACCACTCCTATTCCAGACCATCATTATCTCTCACCTACATCACTGTCATTGCTTCCTACCTGGGCTCCCTGCCAGCAGACTTTGCCCCTTTAATCTGCTCTCCAAGGGGCGGCCAGAGTGAGTTTCCTAATGGCCAGGTTTGATCGTGTTTATCCCCTACCCAAAACTAAAGGTCAATCCCTTAGCTCAGCGCTCAATGCCCCAGCAACCGCCTCCACCCTCATACCCAGCCTTCCTTTTCAGTGCTCCTCTTCTATGCTTTTTGAACCAGTTGGAGTGAATCGCTTTCCAGTTTCTACACACACCCCACTGCCTGTTCTCTGCTCATGCTGTTTCCAATACTTGCAATATTTTCCCTCCTTTCTTCTACTGTACAAATCATTTAGACCCAGCTCAAATGCTAGTTTCTCCAAGAAGCCATTCCTAATCTTCCAGAAGAATAAAACTCCTCCTTCTTCTCAATTCTTTCCAAGAGGTTATTGATCTCTCTTTTAGGGCAGGTCTTGGGAAAGGGCAGGCACTATGATATAAAAGAAAGAGTTCAGAATCTGGAATCAGATGATCTGAGCAGAAGGCATTGCTCTCTGGTTCTGAGACTTTTATGGTATGCCCCCTAAGTCAGTCTTAACTTTCCCATCTATAAAATGGCAATAATAACACTACTGATATGGGTGTGTTATGAGGATTAACTATATGTGACGGTGCGTAAGAAAAGCTTTGATACTATTATACAAATTAATAAATGCAATCACGATTAGGTGTGAAACTCCCAGGGAGTTTTCATGGACATCTTACACTGGCTGAGCCCTGAATCCAAGAACAGGTCAGTGGGGAAGGGATTTTGAGGGAGAGGGACTTTGAGGCCCTAAAATCTCATGTCCTTGGGCAATCTGAAAAAGGGAAGATGTGGAGGCTATTGCCATAAAGCTGGGACCCTAATGGTATTAATAGCTACCGATTCCTGAGCTTTTTCTATGCCCCAGGCACTGTACTAAGTACCCTACATAAATTATCTCGTCTCATCTTATTACCTCACAGAGTAATAGAAGAGGAAAACCAGGCCCATAGCTGTTATATAAAGTGCTCCCCATTCCCCCTCAATTACCCCCAACAGTTCAGACCTAAAAGATATTCTGAAATTCTTCATCACAATGATCTTATCTTTCAGATGGAGAAACTGAGACCCAAGAAGTTATGAGCATTTACCGACACTGTCCAGCCAGTGAGGAGGAGACTGGGCCTAGAACCCAGGTCGTTTCCCTTTCAAGGTGGGAGCCAATGCACCGCAAAAACCCAGGGGCTACTACTCATTCTGAAGTCTATGTAAATGGAGTTTCTGGAGCACAAAGCCATTAAGTGGATTACAATATGAATGGTGGTCACCTGTCACTCTGGCTTGGTTCCATGCTAGGCTACTCACCCCACTCAAGAAGGAAGCTCTTGACACAAGAGCCTCAGGCCCTTAGGGACTGAACATTGCCCTCCTTGCCAACTATCTTATCCAAGGGAGTTTATCCATTCACCATGCAGCTTGCAGTCCTTCAACATACCTCTCGGGGCACCCGCTCTGTGTCAGCTCTGGGGACACCCAGTTGCCCTTGAGGGAGCCTTTGCCCTGAGCTGCCACCCGAGCCTGGTAAGGCTGTGTGACTCAAGCTTCCCCAGCAGCTTTGTCAGCAACACCAACAATCACACTCAACAAACATCAAGGAAGAAGAGGTGGCCTGACATGAAGGACTTGGGGACCTCCACAAAGAAGTGATGGAAGGGGCCTGGCTGGGTTTGAAGACCTGGGCCTTTACAGAGGAGGAAAGAGGGACTGGGAAGGCATGCAGGCAGGTCAAAGTGGGGAAAGGGGATGACTCCTCGAATGCCACATCACCTGGTCAGACTGAGGACACAGGTTCAGTGACTTCTGTGAGAACCAGAATGAACATCCTGGAATCTGATCTCCTGTCCAGGACTGATTCATTCTCCCAAACTAAATTCCAACCCTGGAGTGCTTGCATAATAGAGCTCTCTTCTGAGGCTGAATGAGGCAAATTAAAGGCTAACCCATTTTTTTTACAGTAAGGATGGAAGCAAATGAATGACAGAAGCTGCTCCAAGTTGGGGAGGGGCTGGAATTACAAAGACTTTCTTGGTACACTCAGATGAATTTTGGGGTTCTGGGGCTTCAATGGGAATAGGGTCGAATTGTGTAGGGGAGGAAATGATTATGAAAGCCTGAGACCTTAGATTCTAATGCAGGCTCTGCCACTAGCTCTCCGGTGACCTTGGCCAAGCCACCTCACTGGGCCTCAGTTTCCCCATCTGTAAAATAAGGGAGTTAAATAAGTTCCAAAGTTTCATCTGGTCCTGACCCGTTAAGCCACACGATTCTTGGTAAGGCAGCCCCTCAGGGCTCTGACCCAGGCAATTTCCAGGTTTTGCAGGAGCCTGGGCCTCATCTAGGAAAAAGGGGCATGCTGGGGGAGGGGAACGCATGGAGCTTTTATTTTGGAGATGGGTGGGAAGCGAGTGGTTTAAGCTACACGGTCCTGGGGAGGTAAAGCTAGGGGGAAGTCTTGGAGCCGCAGCATATAAGCCAACAGGCTAGCGGCGATCTCCAACCTCCCTCCAAAGATTCAGACCCTGGAGAGGCGATGCAGCCGAGAGCCGCGCACCAGCCTTGGCCGCACAGGCTCGGACCCGGGACTACTAACTGATCCCTCCCCGGAATCGCGTCCAAGCTCCATGGGGAGTGGCTGCTACTCCCTCGCGGCTCTCTAGCGCCCAGCCCCCTCCCCTGCGTGGGGGACCCCTCCCCCAGCCCAGGGTGCCAGGAGCCCCATGGGGGCGTGGCGGGGGCGGGAGCCAGCTTCCTGGCCCTGGGGGGCTGGAGGAGGTCTCAATTGCGAGGCAGCCCTGGGAAGGACCCCGCGCCCTTCGCCTTCCGGCTCCCCACACAAAGGCACGGACGGAGACGCCACACTTACCGGCCAGAGCGGGCTCCGGGCTCCGGGCGGGCGGGCAGGCTGGCGGGAGGATGTGAGCGCGCGAGTGTGCGTGTGTCCCTGTGAGTGCGCGAGTGTGTGTGTGTGTGTGTGTGTGTGTGTGTGTGTGTGTGTGTGA